TTAAAAAAGAATATATATATATATATATATATATATATATATGCTACAAAAATACACCACGAAATGGTGCCAAAACCATGTTGAAAAGCTCCCAATTTTAAACCCAAACGGTAAAAAATTAAAGAAAAAAGCTTCCAACGATAACATTCTTGCTCTATGCGACCGCATAGAGCAACTAACCTTACAAGGATCGCATGGTTCAAATTCCCGCCACATGCTCCATTATTATTATTCCACAATTGATTATTTAATTGTTGAACAACATTACAACAAATAATCCTACTAATTTTACTGTACGAGAAGCACAACTATTGTGGCCTGATGCTAAAATTGATTGCTTAGTTTCAATTGGGTGCGGGTCTATTCCAACCAAAGTTCAAAGGGGTGGTTGGCGCTATTTAGACACTGGACAAGTTTTGATTGGGAATATGTGTTGTGTTGACTGTGTGGAGGAAGCTCTTAGCGCATTACTTCCTATGCTGCCTGGTGTACATTATTTTCGATTCAGTCTTGTTGATGATCACTGTGGTATAGAATTGGATGAAAAGGATCCAATAGTTTGGCTAAAGCTAGAGGATGCTTTAGATGAGTACGTAGTTCAGAATCAGGTGCAAGAAGATTAAATGAATGAGGCATATGCCCCTTTGCATTACCTGCTTAATCCAAGGGTGATAAAGAGAATGAGCTGCTACTAACAACATACAAAGAAGACATTCTGACTTTGAATCTTGAGGACAAGGTTAATTTAATGGGAAGAGTTGTCATGGGCTAACTTGGTATATATTGGCCCATTTACTTTTAACTAGTTGGACTTGTTTTATTGCGGGCTAGCCCAAAGCCTTTTATTGTTTTGGTCGATATAAGTTGTATTGAAACTTTGTAAACGGGATATGGATGAATTGAACGTGGTTACAAACTCGTCTCTCGCCTTTCTTTCTCATTCTTCTTTCACCATTCTGTTCTTTATCTTCTTCTTCCCTTTGCTGTCTTCTTCACTGGTTTTCTTGCTTCCTATTTTTCTTCTTGGTTCTTCTTCTTCTCATCTTCACTAAATCTCCCTTCTCCCCCTTCTTTACCATGCTCTGCATTTCAGTTTCTTTTTTCTGTTTATATTTTGCTATTTTGGTGTAGTTTCAACTCAATTAATACAATGACAGCTGGATTATTGAATCCCAGTTTAGTATATTAAATTGTTGGTGTTGATTTTGATTAAGTTCAATTAGTTTTGGTTGAAATTGAGCTCCAATCATTACAACGATTCAGAAAGACTATGATCGGAAGTAGTCAACGGTTGGAAGAAGATGACAGTTGAAAGAACCTCCACCTTAAATCCACCATGATTTCTACCTCCAATGCACCACCACCACTTCTAAGGTCATTGTCCCTACCAAGCTATTTGCAACAACCTGCGACACTTGATTTGCCTATTCAATAGAGAGAGAGAAAGTTTTCTATTGAAAGAAAAGTGTTTAGGCTTCGTCTGGGAGCAATTTAGCATTTTGGAGAATCAATTTTCATGTCATGGTCATGTACAGTGATTCACCTATTTAAGTCAACAAAGGGAGGAACTTTCCAATTTTGTCCTCCGTATGAAATCCAAATTTTGCATTAGAAATGAAGTCATTGACTTTTCAATGGTTGAAAAAGTTGGAAATGGGTACCACCATTGTCCTTCAATCTTTGCAAGATCTATATTACTGGTGATGTTCTATTTTCACGTGCATTTTACCGTGCATAATTCGGAAGGTTTTCCCTATTAGCTTGCAACGTGCATTTTTCAAAATAATTTTAGCCCCAAAGTTAAACCTCGGCTGCAATATGGTAATGTTAGCAACACGAACCAATCGTTCCGTTTGTTTACATCTCACACAATCAGTGGACCATTGCTAATTTTTTTATTTCAGTACTTCATAACGGCAATCACATTTAAATTAAACTGAAAACGATATAAAATTCAAACTTGATGTGCCAAGTAATCTCGGAACATGTCCCACTCACGTCATTGGGTTTCCGGTGCATGCATTTCGGCTGCATCTTGTTCTCGTTCGTCCGGGAGGTCCACCTCCGCCACCTCGGGGTCCGTCTCCGCTCGATCAAATGCTTCATCCACCACACCCGCTCGACGAAGGAAGTTGTGCACTCCCATAGTTGCAATTACAATAGCTGTTTGTACTTCAAAATTGTAGCTTGGCATCCGATCGAGTATTTTCCAACGACTTTTCCACACACCAAACGCACGTTCGATTACGTTCCTGCACGACGAGTGCCAAAAATTAAACTTCTCCTGAGCATTTCGGAAGTTCCGCCTGCGACCGGTCGCGACATCGTAAAATTGCTGAAAGTGGTACAATATATCCGATCCCTTATACGGTGCCATGTACCCAGGTCAATGCGCAAACCCCGAGTCAACAAGATAATATTTTCCGGCAACGGGTAGCGGAAAGCCACTGTCCGGGTCGTGTATAACCCTAGACAAGATTCTTGCATCATGACTGGTCCCTGCCGTGCCAGCAAGCACGAATGTGAAACATAAATTGAAATCACATGCCGCCAGTACATTCTGCGTCGGAATTCCTTTGCGACCGATGAAACTCACTCGCTCGTCCCGGGGTAGAACGGCTCTAACGTGTGTACCGTCAATAGCTCCTATGCAATCCCGGAATATGTAATGTTGGTTCAGATTCGGTACGTGGTGCTCGGCACCCTGATTGTACGTCGGATGAGGTTTGATTAAATGCTTCGCAAACTGAACGACGGCTTCAAGCACAAGTTTGAAGTACCGTCCAATTGTTTCCAACGAATGGTTGAATAGCGTCTGCACCTGTCTATATCCCTTTCCATGCGCTAGAATGCACAGAAACATACCAACTTGTTCGTATACATCCACATGTTGCTGGCTGCGCAGGCCGTACTCATCTTGTAGCACGTGGGCGAACGCTCGCAGCATCGCAGGGTACATGCGAAACTCCGCGTAGCACTGTTGAGGGCTACAGTTCATAGCGTCTAGCATGAACATGTGTCCATTGCGAGCGAACGGATAACGAGCAACACGAAGTCGTTGTTCACAATAGTAGTTAGATAATTTACCTCTCCTATACGGCAGTATTGAAACCACTCAATCATATCCGCTAATAGCTCTTCCGTATATGCGTCGTCGTCAAGGTTGTCGTCGACATCGGAAGTTTGTGGCAAATCGCAGTTCATTTCAAAATTTGCACCAGACAGAATTTCTAAGGCACATATAGAATTAGACGATGCTCGTCGTCGTCAATGTTATGCTGCAAACTACACCTCGCCCTTTATAGTCAAAAGGCAACGCCTGTTTCCACAAATAATGCAAGTGAAACATCTGCATGTACAGTTGCCACGTGAGTGGGTAATTCTTTTTCACCTTGAAAATGATGTGTATTTTCCCCATTACGAAATTATTTGGCAGGCTTTTGAAGATTAGCCCCCTGCTGCAAATCAAAAAAGCAAAACCAATAATGGCTACAGTTTGAATATTAGCCCCCCTGTGGAAAATTAATGACATAAAATCAATAATGGCTACATTTTGAAGATTAGCCCCCCTATTCTCAAACCAAAAAAGGCAAACCAATAAAGGCAAAAGTTCAAATATAGGAACAGTACACACATAACCCATCGAGGGGTTATTGGTTCAACACAATAATGGCTACAGTTCAAATTTAATAATAGTACAAACGAACATAGAAAAACAGTACACACGTTACACGTACGAAAACGTAATGGAGTGATCGTCTGAAAA